CGCAGACGCTGGTTGTGCTCGGCTCCGAGGTGGGGGGCCGCTGGAACGCCCAGGCCCGTAGCTTCGTGCGAGACCTGGTGCGTCTCAGGGCGTACCGCGCCCTCCAGCCGTGCGCGTGGCAGCGACTGCCCGTTGGGCGCGGCGTTGGTGGAGCATGCTTGCAGTTGCGGTGCACCAGACGGCGAGCCCGGAGCAGCTGCAGCTGGGCTCGGCGGTTCAGGTAGGAGCAGAGGGACACACTCCGGCAGGCGGCAAAAGGCGTGAAAAAACGAAAACTGTCTGTGGTCTGCAATGGCGGCTGCATATAGTTGCACGCCGTGCAAAGGGATGCTCGATGGTGTGTTTGTTTTTGAAGCCAAGTTGGCGATCAAGGATGATAGCTGCGGTCAGCTTTTCCCAGCATGCAAAGGGGATGGTATTCGACGAAAACGGCTTTGAGCTGTACCACGTAGCCGGGCAACCTGAGACCCGCAAAGCACTCTTAGAAGGGATTGGCCGGGCTCGGTTTGCCGCTGGAGGTAAAGCGTTCCTACGCAATTTTTAAATGCTCTCCATGGGAACAGTGTTGCGCGAATCTCTGCGACAGGCTAGTGCTGTTCCTGCTGTTCCCGTTGCGTCCTGTGCGGCGGAGCATACGGACGTGTATTGCAAACGAATTGGAGCGAAATGAACAAATTGAAAAGATTGCCATCACGGCCGTTCGTGCAAAGGTGTGCCAACGGATTCAGCCCTGGAGCGGGGGTCGACGTCATGAAGGAAGCTCCTTAGTCAGACTGCACCGAGGCCGTAGATGCGGGCAAGGTTCTGGGATGATTCACATTTTCGCCGATATTGGTAGCATTGGTCGAAGCCTTGCGCCAACTGCAGCTGGCAGGCTTCGGGGAGACCGATCTCGAGCAGAGCGTGGTGCCGGACGCTGAAGGCAGCGCTGGCGGGGGCGGCACTCGAGGCGATGTTTTTGGCGGGCACGGCGCTCGTGGAGGCAGCATGGAGGATGCGATGCCGAATGTGGTGCTGCTGGCAGGCGGTGAGGTGGTGGAGGAAGCAGTACCAGGGCCCACCCCCGCGCTTGGTAAATGTAGGAGTGGCGGGGCGTGCGTAATTGTAGGACATGTTTTCCTACAATTNNGGTATGCGTGGCTTGCCCTGCGCGAGGTAGCTGCAAAACGTAGACTCCCACAATTGCAAAAATTCGTATCGGCGGGGGAATGAGAATTGTAATCTACATTTTCTGCACCTCCTGGGCTTGATGATGTTGTGTGCCGCGAATTGAATGCCATTGCTGATCGCGAGGCTGGCATTCTCATGGAACAGCGCCGGTTAGAGTCGGCGCGTAGTCAGTGGTTCCGTTCCATGGAGGATGCCAGGCAATGGGCCACCACGGCCATCCGTATATCCGCAGAAGCATCGGAGCAGTACAGGCGTTTTTTGTCTGCTGCGTAATGTGCTGATTTCTTTTTGACGCTGAACCCGCTCAGCGGGGCTCGCCCTGCAAGGCCTTTGGGCTGGGAGGGCGGGACTTGTAAGCGAAGTCTATTCTGCCTGCTTCTTGTGCTCAAGTCTGAGGCCTCTTCCCTTTTTCGAGGCCGCTTGAAAGTGATCTGACACTTGTTCTCATCTGCAGTGCCCACTCCTGTGGTGCACTCTGTTGGGGGCTTGATCCAAACAAAAAAAAAAATCTACATTTTCTGCCCCTCCCCCTCCTAAGCACGGGGGGCTCCAGGGCCGCAGTTGCTGACCTGCTGTGCCAGTGTTTCGCACAATGGCAGCTCGGAGCAACGGCTTCCAGCTTCAGTAGCAATATTGGAGATCCACCAAGTGGATTTCCAACGTTGTTGTGCAGTTGGTTGTGTGTTGTTGGCAATTTTTTTTCGCGGACCTTTTTCCGGCAGCCCGAAGTTCCACGCGTCCGTGCCTACCTATCCCTGTAGCTCATGCTCATCACGCACGCAAGGGCAAGCTGGAGGGTTGCTCCGCCTCGGCGAGCTCCAGGACCCACCCGAGCGGTGTTTGCTCGTCTCCGGTAGGCTGCGCCGGCGCTCTCCAGCAGCCGCCCAACAGCGTCGAGGCCAAGACGCGCAACAACGCGCATCCGAGCTGCCCCCACCACCGGCACGCCCACCCCGCGCGGGCAGCAGCACGCAGCGCCCGCGGCGCGCGCAGGGAGCTCTGTTGCGCGAGGCTGCGGACGAGGTCGTGCGCCTCTTGCCCCCATCGCCCGCCGACCTCCGCAGCCAGGACGACGAGGCGTTGCGGGCCCGGGCCGGCTGTCTGTGGCCTCCACGGCTTCCCAATCAATTTCCGGCAGACAGAGCTTCTGTTATTTGTAGCAAATTTCAACGAAACGGGGCGAGTGAGCTGTTTGTTTCCTTGTGTGTCTGTGTACATCATCTTTTGAGGGTGGATCCGTGTCGGCCAGCTTGAGCGGCTTGTCCATGCACATCTGGCGTTGCGCAGTGATTCGCCTCAAGCAGGCCGCACTCGCCATGAAGGGAAGTTGCTTACTGTGGCTGTGTGGGTTGGTGTGGATTGTCCAAAGTGAGATATCCAACCAATCCCTTGAGACCGCATTGAACACGTCCATCAGTGCTGGCGGGCAGCCCTTCATTGTCGCAGCCCCAGGTTGCCAGCCCGAGGCGTTTAGGTCGTTTCTCATGCTGACTGGCTTGGCTGCCTGTGATTTGAGCTTGTGTAAGGTGGTCACCTACAACTTGTATTGGTGGTGCGTGTCGGACGAGTACGGGAACTGTCCACAAAATAAAGATGGGAAGGGATTCCAAAAGTTGTTTGCGCGAATACAGCAGAACGGCCCGTTTGACCTTATTGGCTTCCAAGAATGCGATGACGTAGGTCGCTTGCCTTGAAATATGCGCATGGGCTCACTCTCGATGTGTCCGCACGTGACACGTGCGATTTGTGTGACGACCAGGCAAAGTCATCGGTGGGACCAGTTTAGCAGCCAGCTTCGAGTACTACACACCGAAGACAGGCCGGTGCCACTTGATGACGCTGGTTGTTTTCATCGAGCTTGAGTCGAACATCTGCCGTGCACATGCAAGCACGGACTTTCAAGTTGTTTGTCAGGCAACGATGCCCCGATGGCATGGCAACACTCTAAGTTCACTGCAATCGAAGGGCCGGGCACGGCTTGGATCTCCAGGCCTGCACACTGTTGGTTGCGCAAGCCTTTGCTCTGCGAGCATCTTGTGCATATTGCTGCACAAGGCATATTTGTATTTTGTTGCAAGGACAAATACGGAGACCGCCACATGAACTGGGTTCGGCTCCAGGCACCGCTGCTTCAACTGCCATTTTTGGTTGCAGTTGTCTCAATGGCAGGTCATTGGCAGCAGTGCGACGATCTTCTTTGCGAACACGACCCGCCCACAGCACTGTTCAACCTGCTAGCTCAGTTTGCTTGTTCGTGGGTCTGCAGCCAAATGCCAATCCCGAGCTCAGGCACGGCCCCTTAGATCAGTGCGGTGGTGGACCTGGTGAAACAGTTGCCTCCAACTACGCGGCCTGGCAGGATAACTGACCCTTCTGTTAAGTGAAGGAAGGAGCTTTGAACCCACAGCTGTCGTCGTGATGGAATGCCAGCCTGCAAAGTGTCCTTGGATGCGGCTTCGCCGTGCCTTTGCATAAGATGTCGCTTGTTCCTGAGGTCAATGCGGTTTACAGCCACAAGAAGCCGGGCGATGCTTGCCATTCATACGATAGGCTGCCCGTGATAAGCTCCAGAAAGTGCCTACGGTTTTGTCACAGAGCCATAACTCCAGTAAGGGATATGAATATATGCCTCAAATTTTCAGCTTGCTACATCAAGGGGTCCAACGGCTTTCTGGGCTGATATTCCTGAGGATCTGGTCGTCTTTACTGGCGACTTCAATTGCGGCCAAAACCAAGACACAATCAAGAAGCTAGCCCAGGTTCGGATACGAAGTGAGTCACAACATGTCTTTTGTGCGGTGGCCTGTTCGGTGGCGCTGTATGAGTGTAAGCTGCAGGCGTTCGAGCTTGATGTCAGCGCCTTATGCATACCTTTTGCAACGCATCTGGCCGTTCTGATGATGACCGCTGAAAGGCTTGCCTGCCCTCTGTAAGGCCACAGACACGTCGTACAATGGTGCCGACCACATCTTCAGCAGCGAGGGTGTCAGAGTCTTGTGGAAGGGTTCCAGCTCCTTGTCAGCAGGAGCTCGTACTCAAAGTCCCCACTCCGGCATAGTGGCAGTACCAACAGGCAGGAGACACATATATGAATCATCTAGCATCATACAAAATTTAATGAGTTCCCTTGCATGGTCCGATGCTAATCCTGAATCGAGTCTTGGGTCAGTAGGGGTAGGGTTTCAGGGTGTAAGAAGACAACAAAAGAATTTCTTCCACTGTGCGAGAGAAGAAAGTCGAAGCATACAGGGGAGATGAAACAAGGTTTCAGAGTGTTATTTCACCCTGCAAGCCTTGTGCAACTGGGTCATGACACTCCCCTCCCGGTCTTTGCTAACCTTGCTTCTGCTACCGTGATGAGTACTGTTGTAATTCTTGGACTGTGATGACGATTTTAGGAACACGGCTTGGATGAGGTCCCGGCTCGCCCTCCGACCACCAGCTCCTGAAGGTTGCCTTTTAGGGAGGATGCCGGACTTGAGGTGTCGTTTGGCCTGGGCTATGGTAGGCGAGAAGAGGGGCAATGCTTTGAGCTTTGGGGTTCTGAAGCGGCCCGATGATGCTTGGGCAAAGTCACTCGCCAGCGAAGGGATCGAAGTGTGAATGTTGATTCATAAGTGAGTCCCGGTGCGGCCCTTCCAGAGCAGCCGATTGCATGTGCACTGAGTGAGCAACAGCATGGCGCAAGATAGGGGAACTAAAGGGGTGACAGTGAATTTAGGGGTGAACTTGGAGCCTGTGAGAAGGGTTTTCTCATATTTGGTGTCATCGGTTTCTTGCCTTGCGCCAGTTGTTGTGTTTCGTGTCTGTTGTGTTGTGTTTCGTGTCTGTTGCTGAGCTGATGCTGTACCAACGCTGTAGTAGCTGTCCTTCTAGCATCTTCGTTTCAGTTCTGATCTTGTCCGTCATAGCCTTGCTGTGATGAACCATTACCCATCTCTTGAGTCGAGGCTTGGGTCAGGCCTGCCTCATCGCCCCGTGTTCCTGCCAGTTTCCGCTCAGTGGGATTGTCGCCCGGACAGGCTGTTCTGGAAGCGTCTTCGCCAAGCCCTCCGAGCCCTCCGAGCCCTCCCCACCCATCTGGCTGCCCGGTGCCACCAGACAATGGGTCGGCTGGCTGAGTTTCGTTGGCGCTGCGGTTTGTTTCGGTTTGGTCTTGGACTTCTGGGTTGGGCCTGGTGCCGAAACCAGTGGCATGTGCAGGAAATGCCGGAGACTCTGGTGAGCGGAGTTGCTGTACTGTGCCCTTTTGCCAGGGGCTGCTGCACCAGCTGCAGTGACTCGACAGCAGGGAAAGTCACAGCTTTGCTTCGCCACAACCGTGAACTTTGTCCAAGCAAGACTGGATTCTTCGTCACATTTGTTTGGTTTAGATCCTCGTGCTCAGGCAGCAATCACTATTGCCCGAGCAACAAGGACTGTACATGCTCCATTGGAGTTGTTGTAACGCAATTTCGAGCTAATATCTTGGTTTGTACACTTAAGTCACTTACGTGTCCGGTGAAGCTGCCTGATCATGACAGGGTTGCTACTCCACTGGCGAAAGTGGCTGCATTGGTGGCTACTGTCCTGCCCCGGCTGTAGAGCCTTGGTGCTGGCAGAGTGTGCTATAAGCGTTGAGAGACGTGCTGATCTTTCGCTCATCTGAGGAAGAAGTCCTTGTGTGACTGCGAGCGGTTGGGTGTAGCGCTGTTTACGTCTCTGCTCGGGTCTGCCCTCATTTGCACATCTTCCGGACACTGGAAGGTAAGAGTGCAGACGACTCTCTTGGAGGGCGCTTGGCTCATCCACTAGCGTCGCGACGTCAAGGGACGGAATATGGTTGTGGGTGAGAGAAAATGCGTGCGGCAGGCGCATATGGTGCGGGGTTAATTTTCATTTGTAACAGTGTAGGAACCCGGGCATTTAGCACGAGTTTCAGACAAAACAGGCCGGAAACCAGTGTAAGTTGGACAAGATTCCAATAGAAAGAAAACCCCCGCCTTGCTGATGACGTTGCCGTGCTGTGTTGGATTCATTGACGGTCGAGGTGCAGCCGGCGGCACTTCTGAAGGGGTGGCTCACTAAGCAGAGAAAGTCGAGCACAACATGCGACCCCAACCGAAGCCTACTTCATATAAGCCTAGAGTATTCTTAGAGAACTCTTACAGGAACCGTTGAAGCTTCTTGCTATTGAGAAGGCGCTTCATACAAGTCCACCATGCACCACGGCAACGACTCGCAAAGCAGATGCTCAAGAAACCAACGTCCACCAAGCTTTCTTTGAGCCCTGCGCAGAAGTCCAAGCACCAAACCTCTGAACATATCTGAGCTACAGAAGACGCCACGAGCACGATCAAGCAACAAACCGTCGTTGTAGTTGCAAGAGTTGAGAAACCAACCCCCGAACCGCGAACTCCCATGAACTCCCGAACATTAGGGTTTAGGGGTTAGGGTTTAGGCGGGTTTAGGGTTTGGGGTCCCCCGAACCCCCCCCAATCCCAAGTAACTCCGAATTCTCGAGCCTCTGAGCCATGGCCTACTTCTTCAACCCTCCGAAGTCTGAGCCTCGTTGCTGGGAGTCGGCTTCCTTCTTCTGGCTTGCTGGGTGTAGGTACAGTGTAGGGTTGAGGGTGTAGGGCCTTAATCGGGAAGCGCTGCTTCCCAGCTGATTGGCAGAGTCTGGGTTCAAAAAGGGCCTTAATCAGATGTCAAGGGCTTTCGGGTTTCGGGTGCAGGCCATCGGCTTTGTTAAGCTGAACCGGCGGCAGCGAGACGGCTGAAGAACTATTTCACCCTGGAGAGGCAAGATAGACAGACAGGCAGACAGACTCACTGACAGGTAGAAACAAAGGAAGGCACATATCAAGTCTCGATGCCAGGCACTCGCATCCAAAGACATGGAAAGCTGTGCTGTTCATGCAAGTGCCCGGCATTTTAGTACACCAGGATCAGCTACAGCTTTTGAGAGATTCGGGTGCTTCTGTGCAATTGCACTGCTAGCGCGGCAGGCTCCCTTTGCGTGGAAGTAGAAAGATCTCACACTTTTCAGTGGTAGCTGCTTGGAAGATCGGCCTCTTGTCGCCAGTGCTGTAGGGTCTGCATGTGGTTCTTCGGTTGAATGCAGAAGTTCTTTAGTAAGGATGGTTATATGTTTGCATACTGTGTACTTGTGTTTCCACGCAGGCTGGTAAATAAGATTCCTGCATACATGCTTACATACACGCAAAGAAAGCAGCGGCAAGAACTCAAGCTAATTAGTGTGTATGAAGGGCTCCTCGATTTCAGCTGGAAGTGTCAAAGAGCGACTACCTTGTTTGCAGATCGACTTTGCGCAAAGCCTTCCTCGAGATTGCTGTTTGAGCCCAGCCCGGTTAGTTCGGTGCCTCTATGCTCACCACCCGTCTTCTTTGCCCGAGCAGCGAGTGATCGAAGTCCAGGCTTTCCAATCCTGGCATCTAGCCTGACGGTTTAGGGTTGCAGGCCTACTGTATGGGTTGGGCTTCTTCAAAACCGTTTAGCCTTCTTGACAATTGAGCATATCGCTCTCAATTTGTACTCGCAGTTAGCGCTTCCGTGCTTTTTTGTTTTGGGCCCCAGGCGCTGCAGCGCGGAGTGGGAAACCGAAGACAGTCTTGGCGAGCAGGTGCCAGGGTACGAGGGGCTGCAGCGGTCCTGTGAAACTGCTCGTCACCGCTGGTCTGGCAGCCACGGGAATAGGATGCAATGATAGCAGCTTTAGTAACAGAGTAGGGGTCGGGGTAGTGAAGGGTAGTGGTGGTAGTAGTAGCAGTAGTATTAAGGCAGCAGCGGGGGAGGGCGAAGAGGAGGAGGATGAGGAGGAGGAGGAGTAGGAGGAGGTTGGGGAGCAGCATGAGCTGCTTTCTGCGTTTCGAGCACGGAACAGCATCGCTGAACGGCGTGGCCATCTAAGGTGCCAGCGGGTCATGCAGCAGAGGCAGCGGTAGTTGCATTGTTGCTTTGTGATGATAGTTTGGTGCAGAGAGGGCCAGATACAGCTAAACTCACGAGAACACTCTGCGGCAGACGCGTTTTATATCCGTCCCCTTTTAAATTGTTTCATGTTGTGACTTGTTTTCCTTTGTTGACTTGTTGGCATACAACTGCGTCCCTCTAGGCTCAAACAGCCAAATGTGCAGTAGACATGTTTGAATTGCCAGCGAGTTTCCCCTCATGGGGTTGAGCGCTGCTTGATTGCAGTTAGGGCAGGAGCTGTTTTTTTTAAAATTTTATGTTTGCTGAGAAACATCTGCACGGTATCGACCCGCGAGCGCAAGGACTGGCACGAGAAGCGAATTGATTTCTTGAAGGTCGGCATTGATCCTCTTAGACTGCAGGAAGGGAATGCATCTGTTGTTGTTCTTTGCAGTGGCTTTCAACCTCACAGGCCGGCCACACCATGGACATGGAGACTCCTTCCCTGTTAACGCTGATGACAGGCATGGCACTCAGCAAGAGCGCAATAAAACAGAAGGAAAGGCACCATGCACAGTTCCATTTTAGAGGTTAGACAGTTAGGCAGTATAAGTAGCACGAAGAGGGCTACATAGACCGTTAATGCGAGCTCTTCGTCCAGCTCTCGTGCAACAGGCGACGTTTCCTCGGGTGTGAATTGGCTGGCCTGTTGGACGCCGCGGACTTGGCCATGGTGTTCTTGAAGCTTCAGAGATCGCCCCTTGTGTGTTGTGAGATGTTTGGGAAGCCGCAGGCTGGTAGCAGCTTGTCTCATTGGAGCCGCCGTTGCATGGCTTGCGAAGCGGCCCAATGCACCATCCCACGGTCTCTCGGCAGAGTCTGGTCATGTGACTTGTTTGTGATTCACGTTTGTGAGTGAGAATGTAGCCTGAATTCTGGTGATGGCGAGCTGTACTGAGGTGGCAGCCCGCCCGACGGGGCTGCCGTGCGACGGCGTAAGCGAAGCGAAGACACCGCGCAAACCTTCGACAGCGACGTGCCAGAGGATGTCTCAAAGGAGCGAACTCGGCCCTTGAGAGATCTTGGACCCAAGCCTGTGCTGCAGGACTACATGGAGATCACATTGGAGAGATCTCAGAGGAGCGAGTCCTGGGGCTTCGTTTGGCACGTCCAAGCCTTCGAAGCCCAAAGGCTGCTCGTCGAATTCGAAGGATCCTAAAAAGTAGCACGGATGACCCTCGGAAGCGCTTCCGAGGTTTCTGATCGCTGGCTTGGAGGCAAAGTCTCCAGCCGGCCAGCTTAAGGACCGGCAGGCACAAGGCCCGAACAGATGTGAGCGGGTTTGCTCGTTGTAGGGTCGCCTTGCAAGGCCTCTTTCAGTGCTTCCTTTCCCTGACGAGGCCTGCGCCCCCTCCGGCGAGGTGATGAGCTGGTGAGCGTCAATGGGGCGTGCCACTTTCAGTCAATGCGCCGTCATCTGGCGCGGGCAGAGAAGGTTCGCCTCCAGTTCCTGAAAGCCGATCTCGTCCTTCCCCTGGAGTGTGACAGCTGCGACTGTGATAGCCCGACTGCGGCGACCACGAAGCCTGGCCCAGTCGCGGCTCCGGGTTCGACCCGGAGCCCCAGCTCCCAGCCGAGCCAGCCCAGTCCCCAGCCAAACGAGAGCCAACCCGCCGACCTAAGCCCAAACTCTCCCCAAGGAGAGCTTGCAGAGGTTGCAGAGGTTGCAGGCACGCAGTGCTCCACTGCCTTTTGCGCTGTTGAGCATAGCTTGCCCGCACTTCCGTTTCCATGCGACTCCCTCAGACATGTCCCCGACAACATCCCCGAGAGTATCACACAGCCACCTGCAATGGTCCGGGGAAGGGACACCGCCGTGAAGAGAGCCGACGTGCCTAACTGGTGTAAGGAAAAGAGAAAGTCTCGTCGACATGCTTCCACGGGTGCAGAAGAAGAAGGCTGGGCTCGCTGTTTGTTCATCGCAATGTGTTGCTCTGCTTGGCATATCTCCATCCCGTGGCTGCAGGCCGATTCTCCAGCAATTCCTCGGGATCTGGTTCCGAACAGGTCTCCGGCGAGAGCAAATGCCCCTCCACAGATTGGGAGTACATGATGGACAACAGGCCCGGCAGCTTGCTCCATACGGAGCTGGCGACCACCCGGGAGCCCCAGGCCCAGTCATCCCAGTCCCTCCACTCCATGCCAAGGACAGGAACTGTGGGCTTGCATGGCGACTTCCATGCTGGCGGCAACGTCGTAATTGTAGCCGGCTCCCAAGCCATGGCATTGCAGACAGGTGCCCTGAGCGCTGTGGTGGGCGGCGGCCTCTTCCAGGCACCGCAGCTCCCGCAGCTCCCACAGCTCCCACAGGTCCCACAGCTCCCGCTGCCTCAGATCCCTCTCCTGCCCCAAGCGCACATCCTGTCCAAAGCCCCTGCAGAAGCCTCGGGCCTGGCTGTGCCTTCTGTGCCTTCTGTGCCTTGCCTGCCTGCGCAAGAGGACTACGTGCAAGGGTTCCCGACTAGAACTGTCAGGAGTGGGCAGGTCGCAATGCCACAGCCCACCTCCACCTCCCTTTCCCAAGGACTTGAAGTCTCCAAGCTGCCGCACGAATCCCACGGATCCCAAGAGTCCCACGAGCCCACGAGAGTCCCCGATCTTCCCTTCGCACAGACCGAAGTCGCACGGACGTCAGCCGCGTCTCTTCGGTCAGGAAGTGCTCCTCCAAGATCTTGCTTCCTGGAGCCGGAGCAGCCAAATCCCCAAAAAGAAAGCTTTGGCAAGAAGCGGACCTACCGCTCCGGCAAGCGGATCCGAGCCAAGCGCACCCGCGCGGCCCAGCGGGCGCAGGTCGGGGTCCCCACAGGGCACGCAGCCCAAGGCGGTGAAGCCGAAGCAGAGGAAGGGGCAGGGGAGCCTCCTAGCCAGCGGCCCCGCGCTGGCAGCGCCCCGGCTGCCCTCCGTAGCCTGGAGCTCAGGGAGAGCTCCGAGAAGGGCTACTACAAGCCGCGCAGGCGAGCTGGGAAGAAGGTGCGGCAGCGCATGGAGCATGCCATCGCACGCAGGAAGGAGCAGGCTCTCATGGCCGAAGCAGCGGAAAACTGCAGGATGGTCTCGGATGACGAGCCGGAGCCCCACGAAGCTCCGGTCGAGCTGCGACCAGTTGCAAAGCCCGTGGCCGTGCCTCACACGAAGCCGTCGCACGGTTGCCTGAAGCGAGCAGATTCGCCGACATCAGTTTCAACTTGCACCACTGCGGCGGCGACCATGGTATCTGGAGTTGCAAGCACGACCACGACTGCTACTACCTCAGCCTCTGCAGGTTCCGAGCGAGTTGCACCTCGTCGGTCGTTCTATGCCCGCAAGCTCCACGATGCGCCTGCTTTGCCAACTATGCAGGAAGGGTGCAGGGTGACCGCACCGGAGCCAGCACTGGCAACTTGCAGCAATTCAGCCGTGCATCCTTTGCAGAGCTCTTGCATAACATGGGAACCTGATTAAGACACCTTGGGTCCTTTCCTTGCAGAGCTCTTGCATGCCATGTCGCTGGGATTTGCTGGGAACTGAGGCCCATGGCAGGCACACGGCCCAGCGGCCACAGCGTCGGGCCTCCCGCACGCGAGCTCCCAAGGCAGGCCCGGAGCCTCCAGGCGTGGCTGCTGGTTTTGCTTGGGTTAGACTGCAGGAATACGTCAGAGTAACCATGCTATAAGTCATAGAGGGTTTTTTTTTGAATCTCTAGTAAGGGGATCGCACCAGGAGCTTCCGAGATCGTTGGCCAGCGGGTGCTTCTTACCGGCCTTGTCCATGCACCGTACCTCGGAGACTCTGTGTCACTCCAAATAAAGAAATAAATAAAAAGAACGAATAAATAAATAAATATATATGTATATGTACATATGTGTTGTCATATCTGCAAGACAGACAGGGCCATGAAGCGGGCTAGAGGGAGAGAAGCGGGCTCGGCACACACTGGGAAGTTGGGTGATCATGACTTGACCAGAAACTGCGAGGCACCAGAAAGCTGCAAATGCATTCTGTTTAGTGGAGTACCGAGGCACTTTAACGGCCATTGGGGCTACGTAGATGGATTTGACCCGGACGAGCAGCGCTACATCGTGCGGGTCTTCTTGGGTGAGCCAGGGACGCCGCCCACGCTCGTGACCTGCCTGCATGGTCGGGATCTGTTGTTCATGAGACACTGGCTGCCGGCGGGAACACTGAACACAGTTTGCCTGGTCACAGTGTTTACAGTCCTCAAGCTGCATAGCCCACCTGTAGAAGCAGTATGGCAGCTACGTGGACAGCATGCGCGGAGTGACCACTGCAAAGCACAGAGACATTGTAAATTGGGATTGCGACGGTAACTCCTAGCCTTCCGCGACCACTGCCAATACCAGTACTGGTACCACAACTGCCACTGCTGCTACTGCTGCTGCTGCTACTACTACTACTACCACCACCACCACCACTACTACCACCACCAAGAAAAACAATTGTTATAGCAAGCGATGCCGTAGTGTCCCCGACTCATGGCCGACATCGAGCTCTTGGGCGTACGGGACGTTTGCAAAGACCACCTGCTCGAGTTTTTGAACAGTGCATGGTGGTCATCTCTCGGTGATGCAGGTTTCGAGCAGGAGGACATTCGTCCACAGGACGACCCTCTGAAGGAGTGCATCTTCGCTGCGGATGGTCCAGTGACGCTCCGATTCTGCACTCCCGAAGCTGCATCTTTAGCTCTTTCCTTGAATGGTCTCCAGTACTGCGGCCGTGTGCTGCAGTTCCGGAGGCGTCCAGGGGCCCCTCCCGGTCCCATTCTGCAGGGTTCGAAAGTTCAAGTTGAAGATCTGAAGAAGATTCTGGGCTTCCAGAAGGAAGCCTTTGCCATGCCTCAAGGCTGGCAGGAGACGATTTGGACTGGTGACGGTGTCCTGCAACCGCTGGACCGTTGGGCAGAGACACTACCAAGAAGTCATTACGATGTCTTGGGCATAGACCGGCAGGCCTCCAAAGATGAGATCCTGAAAGGCTTCCGCAGGCAAAGTGCTGCAGCCACAGACTTAGGCAAGCTCAAAGAGGCTCTGAAGACTCTGATCTCGGAAGACCGGAAGACAATCTACGACCACACACCGGAGTCATTTCTTTGGGACGCCATTCGTGCAGCAAGGCACGATCGTTTTCAGCCAGCTTGCTTCGTGGTCCGCAACTATGAACGCCTTCGCAAAGGCTTTGTCCGGCGAATCCAGGTGCTTCCGCGACACAGCTCACATCTGCGGAGGGAAAAGAAAGTCATCGTGGCCAGATGCCGAGGAGCGGACGTCTGCATAGTGGCATCCGACCCGCAGACCAACCACCTGCCCTCGGAAGTTTGGGTCTCAGGCGAAAGCCAGCAAATCGAAGAGCTTCAAAGGCTCGTGCATAAGGCCGGAGAAGAGGCCGATGGTCTTCGGGCCTCTGCTAACAGTGCCATCTTGACTGTACCCAAGCCGCTCTTGGACAAGGTCCCCAAAGAGGGAGCGGAGAGGGAGAACTTCGTGAAGTCCATCAGAACTGCAACGGGGCTATCTCTGACTATCGTGGAGGATCGTCTCTAAACCCTAAATCCTAAACCCTAAATGGGAAAAAAACCCTAAACCCTAAACCCAAACTTATCGTGGAGGATCGTCTCATCTTGGCTGGAGGGTCGGGACCTCAAGGGCTGGCCCAGGCCATAGCGGCCGTCCAGGAGAAGGTGCCTCTGTGACTCTAGGGTTTAGGGTTTAGGGTTTAGGGATTACCACATTTCCCATGTCACTATACTTCTTTATCATTTCTTTATATAATCCTGTATTGTTTTGTTACAGCGATGCTGTGTTACAGCATGAGTATGTTGCAGTACTGCTACCGTAGAACTTGCCTCTAACCTCCTTCGACTCCCGAAGGCTCAAGTCCACTCGGCCCTGGGAATGTCGAGATACACTTTAAGGGTAGTCTAAACCGAGTCAGAGGCGGGCGCGACAGGGAGTTTAGAATTTGTAACTTTGTACACTTGGGTTGAGCCTGCTTTTGCTAAACATACTTGTATCTTATCAAAGGGGTGTGTCCGGATTTTGCACTGTTGAAGGCTTGAGACCCGCAGAAACCTGACCCGTCTCAAGCCCTGCAGGTGATTTGGAGGGCAAGTGTGCAGACCGATCACGGCACCTACCAAGCTTGGGAGTATGCCATTTGGGCGGAAAGGCGTGGGATCCCTGTTGTCCCGACCCGTGAACCCGACCGGGAGGAAGCGTGGCACGTGCTATCGGAATTTCAGCAGCAATTGCAGCTGCCGGCACAAACCGACTTTCCGAACTTGGTCGTGGTGGTCCTTAAGTCCTTGCTAGACCGCGACGTCAGCAATACCGTCATCAAGATTTTGACATCCAAAGTGGTCGTTTACGAGGTAAAGCAAGCCAAAGAGGTTCGCACAAAAATCACCTGCTTGATGATGCGGCTTTGGACAGGAAAGCGGCTGGTGCAGCCACTCGGCGACTTCAGCTCCGATCCTCTCCTGATCACTCTGTGGAAGCTTGCCACCATTCTCGGCGCCACGCCGTTGCAACAGCTGCTGATGGCCCCTGTGCCTGGACAACTCCTTCTAGTGCTTCGCCAGGCTTGGAGCCAAGTTCCGGACAAGAAGGCCTGGCTGCCATGGAGTACGCTGGTTCCCTTGATGGGCGACTACCTCCATCCGCTGCTTCAGCAAGGCGCTCAGGAAGGACAGGTCCAAATGCAAGCGGAGTGGAAGAGCGATCCGCATGTCGCCGCTTTTGTTTCAGAAACTGGCTCTAGGAGTACAGTTTCTTTGCTCCTTGAGGGTAGTCAGTTTAGATTCCCCTGTCAGTCCACGTTTGTCGGTGGTCATCTCCAGCCCAGGAATACATCGCCTTCCACGAGTTCAAAATTGCGGAGGAGGGTGTCCAGGCAATTTCCAAGGCTTGGCGCAGTGTCACCCTCCAGCCTAGGCAGAGCGCACCTCAGGTGGTGCCGCCGCCTCAGCCAGCAAAGCCGCCAACCCCGCCTCAACCACCTGAGCCACCCGTGGCCAAACCGCCATCCCCGCCTCAACCACCTCAGCCAGCGGTGGCCAAGCCGCCCCCACCGCCAGAGCCAAAGCCCTCGGCGATGTCGGTCGACGAGCAGGCGGAGAGTGAGCCACCGCCGGCAAAGCCGAAACCAAAAGCCAGACCCAGACGGATGGCCGGCGCAGACGGTCAGGACAATAGTAACAACCAAAAGCGAAGTGGTACTGAGCAGCATGAGGATGCCCCCGCTTCGAAGAAGCCGGCGACCAGTCCTACTGTAATTCTGAAGCCTGGCCCTACATCTCCTGTGACTTTGAAGCCGGCTTCTGCTGTTGCTCCAGCTCCCAAGAACCCGGCGAGCAGTTCTGCACCAGCTGCCACTCCCCCGAGCTCTGGTGGCCCGCAGGATTTCGAAGAGTGGCTCAATGGTTTCGACGAAGGCAAAGGCAAGTTCAAAAGCCTCTACCTCAAGAATCTCAAGGAGCAGTTCTTCGAAATAACACCTAAACCCTGAACCCTGGGTTTCGTGTGTGCTGGCGGCCACATGTCCCTGTAGCAACCTGGTTCAGGGACTTGTTGCTTGGATCCGTGCCGGCTTGAGCGGGCGTGCGTGTCGAAACCGCAAGCCTCTATTTAGGGGTTTAGGGTTTTGGGTTTAGCGGTTTAGGACGGCGGGCCGCAAGTGCAGCCCTTCAATCAGGCTTGACATATTGAGTTTTTGAGAGAGAGAGAGAGAGAGAGAGAGAGAGAGAGAGGGGTTTAGGGGTTTGGGGGTTTCGGGTTTAGGGCTCTACCTCCATCCGAAAAAGCCGAAAAAGGAGCAGTTCTTCGAAATGTCGCAGCTCAAGGAGTGCCTGGAAGGCCTCTGCAACTTCCAGGATCCTACGAAGAAGGTGCCTGGGTGGGCCTTCGGCAAACTTTCTCCTCATTTCTTGTAGGAAGGATATGTTTGTCCTTTCTAGTGAAGAAGAGGATCTTATTTACGAACACTTGTCAGCGGGTTTAGACTTAGAGGGCCAGCCGAGGTCAGTGTAAGTGATGTGGACGCCGAGTTCTGGAATTCCCTCGACATCAAGCGCATGGGCCACAAAATCGTGTGGCTCAAGCAGCTCGAGAAGCTTTCAAAGTCGTGTTGAAAAGAAGGCGTTGAGGGCTTCAGCGCAGGCCTGCCCCAAGCGTCCTTACATGAGCATGCGCATGCTCATCTCGCTTCAACTACCGTGCGACGCTAGGTCCCCAAGTATCTCTCGTACTTTGCGCAGCGTACCAAAGGCCCCGAGCTGGAATCGAATCTCTTAGCCCGGACCAGAAAACCAATACTTCAGCTTCAGCCCCTAAACTCAGAACATGCCGCTTGGACAGCCTCGCACCTCATTTGGCAGAGTTCCAGTCGCAGTGAGCAAAGAAAAGGATTTGACCAAGGAAGCCCCTACTGTAGCCATCTGTAACCAGCCGATATGACTAGGGTCTCAGGTCTGGTTCATGGTCGATGAGCCGCTGTCTCGTTGAGCTAGTTAGCTAGTTTGTGTTTCAGTCTACCCTCCCTGCCTTAATCCCGTTAGACCGTCGTCACAGTCCTTGCCTGCCTGGTCCGAACGTCAAGCCACTCCCCCCAACCCCAATTTGCCCTCAATACTGCCTCCCCTGGATTGCCCGAGTGTGAGCGCCGAATCGTGAAAGTCAGACCCTAAACCCTAAACCTGAAACGTGGACTTTGGGATGAGTGAGCACCCAACACCTTTAGCAGGTTGTAGGGTATGTAGAGTTTTGGTGGTGTTGTGTGATGGATGAACTCACAACCAGAAGCAGTTGTTTCACTTAAGCAGACCGCGCACCACATGACGCGCCTGGCGTGTCCGAGTGTGAGCGCCTCTCGGTTTGCCGTCTCACTACAGTTCGGGTTCAGACTGAGTGCTGGCGCCTTAGAGCACGCACCCTTGAAGTCCAGTGCTCTGTGGGATTCTGGGCTGAGGGACTGGATGTCTTGGTTTGTCCCCCTCGGTCAAGCCCGTGATGCGGTGTGCATCCCAGGCTTGACTGTTGCACTTTCACTTTGATAGCTGAGATCTCAGTGTTCTGTACATCGAGCTTGCCCTTCAGCCGCAAGCGGGTGTTTCATTTCAAGTCCCAACACCCCTAAATCCTAAACCCCGAAACCTCTAAACCCCTGGACCCCGAAACCCCTCCGTAGCCATTTTGGCTCAAGTGCCGCCAGGAGGCCTCTCCCCTCGGTGCGCTTGAGCGGGGCCGTTCCTCCCCGGTAGGTAAGGGTTTTCCCCCCCTCTCTTCGTCTGCTCTGAGGCCCAACTTGTCCACTCTCCGCCCCCCGTTCTCCCTTCGTCGCTCGTCGTTCGTTTGAGCTCGGCATGAACACTCCCATTGATGAAAAGGAAACCTTAGATGGCTTCGCGGCTGAGGATGTTAGTCCCATTTCGTCGGGCCTGCTGCGAGATGCGGGGGGGGATGCTGAAATGCAAGAGGCTGCTCAGGCGGCACTCCGTGCCGCGCTGGACCGAGGGGGGCCAGGGGGGGGAAAGGAACGAGGGGCTGGGACTGGGATGAGAGAGGCTTTCCATGACGCCGAAACTGAAGCTGCAGCGGCTACCAGACGTCTGTTTGAAAAGCAAAATCCTAGGACTAGCCCAGAGAAGAAGGCCAAGCCTGAAGCTCCCTCCGCAGCATCCGCCAAGGTCAGTGCCCCGGGGCTCCAAGCCCCCCCTGTGTTCGGAGGACCGCGACCTCCCCCTAAGGACAAGAGAGCTTTTCCCGACGCCTACGACATCAGCGACGCTGCTCCGCCCCCATGGGCTCAGGACTTGCAACATAGTCTTTTGAGGTTGGACAAGGGCCAGCAAGACACTCTGGAGCAACTGCATGTCACGCACAAGAGCCTCCGAGACAAGATGCAAACACTTGAGAGCAGGCAAGATGCACAGCTTGAGAGGACTCAGGCCTTTGAAGCCCGCTTGAACGCCCTGGAAACCGAAGTCAGAGACCTGCGATCTCGCTCCCCTAGCATGGCCTCGGGGTCCGTCTCTCCCCGAAACTCCCGCGAAGGCAACCATGATGATTGGCAGGTGGCCCTGGGCGGCTGGTACGAGGCGAAGCGAGAGGCCATAGAGGACGAGGTACGTGCCTGGTTCTCGCGAGCCGAGTGCTTGCCGCTTCTTCAGGACCTTCACATAGGGGGGGTTCGTGCGAATTCGTGTAGGGTTGACTTGCGCTACATGCAGAGTAATGTTCGCGAGAGGCGGCAGGTGCAAAACCTTTGCATCGAAGCCCTCCGAGCCGCAGCCCGTGCTAGCGAAATCCCTGGACAACAGGGGGGTAAACTTTGGGCAAAACGCAACAGAAGCCCCGAGGAACGAGCTAGGATACGTGCCATTGTTTCCCTTAAAGCCCTTGTTTCCCAACACCTCAGTGAAAGGGACTTTGAGTTTGATTGGCGTGGCCGGTTTTGGACTCGAGGGTACAGCGTCTTGGCGCATGTAGATGTTAAGAAGCCCACCGACGGAGCGCTCTTGCTCCTGGATGCAAGAGGGTCTGAAACTGGCTGGTGGATCCCTGGGCCCGAGGTTGCACGTCACCTTGGGATTGAGGTTGAAAAGGTCCACCAACACTTCGAAGTTGACACACGCACAGCCTAGGGCAGAGGCCGGAGCAGACGCGAGCACAAGTTTCATGAATTTGTTTTCTGCACGTGGAACCTTCATGGTAAATCCATCGAAGACTTGACCAACTTGTGGGAAGGCAACGTTAGGTATCCTGATGTCCTCTGCCTGCAGGAGCTTGGAGGGGTAAAGGACGTCACTAGTGACGTCACCTCTCGTGAGCATTGCTTTGGGTCCATATCGTATAATATGTACGTGTGTTCCGCTGACGAAGCTTTCCGATGCCAGGCCATCCTTGTTCGATCTGGGGTGGGCTTGACCGTTTCGAATTCGTGCTCGCTTAAAGCGGGACTGGTTCTGCATGCTGCATGTCCACGTCATAGAATGCATTTTGCATGTTTGCACCTCCCCCACAGCAAAAGAACCGGAGGTGAGCATAATCCCCGTGGGGACGCCGAGACAGTCTGGAAGGACACCCTTGAAGGACTCGACCTGGAGTTGTCCCATGCCGACCCCGCCGACGCCATCATGATCGGGGCAGACGTGAACCAGGACCTGCATGCTTCCTTCGATGAATTTTCAGGGGTTGGACACTTGAGGGCTTTGATTGCTAAATATGACCTGGTTTACAACAAGCCTCTGGGGGCCACATGGTCAGCTCGGGGATGCTCGAGCGAAATTGACTTCGTCATGATACGAGCGTCTAGGATCTCTATTGCTGCACACAAGAGAGATGACATGCGTGATGCGCTCCCCTCCGACCACTCGCCGGTGTTTGCGGTCCTTCATACTCCGCTCCCCCTTGTGACCCGCTCTCAACGTCCGACAACTAAATGCGGCCGGTGGCTAGTTGATAGCTCAGTGCTGCAAGCCTTCGCCGAAGAAGGCCGGCCCTTTGAGCCGGAAGAATTCAAGAATTTGTGTGCGAGCCACGCACGACGCCTCCCCTCGCTGAGGTACAAAGACTCTGAAGATTTGAAGGCGGTCATAGCGCAAAGAAGGCAAGAAACCGATTTTCAGGTGAAAGCTGCCCTTCTTCAGAAAATCAGACATGATCGGGCGGTTGCCAAGAATGATCACCGAATTCAGATTCTTGAGGATGCCCGGGGTGGGGATAGGCGAGCAATTAGCTACCTGCGCAAAAGTGCTGCCCATGCCTCTTTTGAGGTAAGCTATATCCAGCACCGTGGAGGAGAATCGGTAGCAGCACAGGAATTGAAGGCCTTCTACGAAGCCAAATACACGTCCTTCCTCCCGCCCCCCACTGAGGATTCCATCAATGCGATGATTGCCACCCATCAATCTGTCCAACCTGCTCGGTTTACTCAGGATGAGCTGGAAGCAGCCATTGTGCGCTGCAAAGCCAGGACCAGTGCAGGCATGGACGGCGTCTGCTACGAAGCGATCAGGGCGTATCATCGAGGGGACGTTCAGGGTCGCCTCTTGGAATTCTTCAATGGGCTGTTGTTCAAGAAGTTCCCCGTTCCAGAGGACTGGAAAAGGGCGAAGGTTGTCCTTCTTCCTAAGGTGCCTAAACCGGCAGGCCCCCAAGATCTTCGTCCTATCTGTCTCTCGCCCTGCCTCTCGAAGATATGGGGGAGACTCTTGATGCTGAGGCTGGCGGACAGGTGCCCGCCCTTTCAGAGCGGTCAATTAGGATGCCGCAAGGGGACTCAAACGGTTGACGGGGTCCTTGCGGCGCAGACGGTGATTGGCGTGCTTCGAAAGAAACACGGGGTCGAGGCCCATGCGGCCAAACTCGACATTAGAGCCGCGTTTGACAGCTTATCTCACTCAGCGCTTGTCCAGTACATCATGGCATGCAGGCCATGCCCGGAAGCTTGTCACCTGTGGGAACTCTGCTCAGCTAACAAGCTGCATATGAGCCTTGGGGCTGCATCGTGGGAAGTGCTGGTTTGCCAGGGGATCCTTCAAGGAAGTTCGTACTCGGCCGACATATTTGCGCGGGTGATAGACTATCACCTGCGTGGGTTGCATGATCGGTGGAACTCGAAGTTCCCAATGTGGGACGACGATTTGGGTCTCCCTCATTTCTTATTATATGCGGACGACCTTCTTGTCTTCGCGATGAACCCAGCTGAGCTCCAGTCGAAGCTACATGACATCACAGATTCGCTACAAGCGATAGGACTGTTCATTAACGCCGGTAAATGTTCGGTCCTCAACGTCCAGGGGAGCACCCCGAGCGTATGGGCTAGAAACTCCTGTCGGCCCCTGTCTGGCAAGGACGCCCTCGTCTTTTTAGGGGTGCCGTTGTCGCACACTAACAATCCAGACACCATGCTGATGCACTCCCTACGCAAAATGACGAATTCGTATTTTGCAATGAAGAAGGTGCTTGATCATGCGACCACGTCGCACAGAGTTCGTGCGGTCTTGTTCGACTCCTATATCTCGTCCAAATGGGCATGGTGTAGTTCTGTGGTATGGCCCACAACTCGGAGTTTGCGGTCATTGGAAGGGCTTAAGAACTCGCTGCTGCTTGGAGTGTATAGATTTGCCCCGGATCCTTTCTCTACGTGGATCGAAAACACTCAGGCATGTCGACGAGCACTGAGAGTCTACTGCGACAGGTTCTCAGGTCCACAGTGGGGGGTAACCTGGCTCACACGGCTCTGGACCTACTTAGGCCACATTGCCCGGAGCTCAGTGCAGACACCTCTTACCCGACTTGTTAGGACCCTGAGCTCTTTGCGCATTTCCCAGCGAGCAGTGAAACCATCGTGGCTCAGCGAGTGCCCCCCCCCCCCCCGAAGTTTCGCCTTGTGTACCACAGGATGCGCCAAGAGACCGAACATGAATACTGGGAATGGCAGGCAACAGACCGACATGCATGGCGGAAGATGCTCGCAAGGTGGTTGCTCATGTGGAATGTTGGAGTGTCCCCTCCGGACACTACTGAATTCCTGCAGGGTAGACAGTTGGTTGTCGTAAAAGGGGGGACGGCGGCCCTCAGGCCGAAGCGAGAGGCCCTAGATGGCCTGTACCCGAGAGGTCTCGTCACCATTGCTCCCTGGAGAGCCAACAATTGTGTCTCGCTCACATTGTGGTTACGCCATGAAGCAGGCTGGCCCGTGGCATGCTTGTATTTTTTCCGAAAGAACCAAAAGCCCCAAGACTCGTCTGTTCTGCACCTACCAGTAGGACAGGATCAGACCTGCCCCGCAGCCGTACCAGTCCTTAGTGCTGTTTGCAAGAGCCTGAAGCTGCTGGAACGTGTTGAGCCCCTCTCGAAAGCCGCCGTTGTCCTCCCACCTTCTTTCCTCCCGCGTCACATCCTGGAAGGAGTTCGTGACCCGCAGGATTCGGCAGCGGCAAAGCTCACGCGATTGCTCCACGAGACCGACCTCCTCGGCAAGACTTTCACGCCGCCCAAGAAGTTCCCGCAGAGGTGGGGCCTACAGTTGGGTTTCTCACCCTCGCTTCTCCCCCCTTCCTGGAACTGCATGTTCAGGACAGCTGATTTCCACAGGGCACAGTACTTTACCGAAACCGCCTCGGCAGCACTGATTGCCCTCCGACCCGGCTTGTTATAAGACAGCCGACTGGCTTCCGGCACGTAGCATCAGTGCTCAAAGATCTCGCAACTTCCCCCCTCGCCCCTGCGTCATGCCCCCACAAAAACCGAGGCTTGAAGCTGAAGGGAGGGCCCTTTCAGTCCTCAACGAGGAAGACTTCGTGACTAAGGAGCAGGTTGCAGGAGCTGTCAATCTGATTCCCGCGACCGAATGGGGCTCCCGCTACGGCGGGAGAGTCCTTAGTTTCGGGGCCTATCAGAGGGTCTCGAATGGGCTCCGCACGTGCTGTAGGAGATACCCTATCTTGACGAGGCTGCTTACCAGGTTTGTCAACCAGTGGTGCCCCTCATTGAAGTTCACCACGCTGACCATCATGTTGAACGTGAACAGCCCTCCCCACACAGATGCGGGTAACTCCGAGGTTCCTGGCATGCTACTGGCCCTTACTTCTAACTTCACTGGAGGCGAATTGTGGATCGAGCATGACTATGGCACCCATACAATGTACCGCAACGGCGTGCCCTTTAAAGGAGTTCAGGTTGACATTGCCTCGCCCTTTGTCTTTTCAGCCAAACGGGTGCTTCACGGCACATGCAGATGGGAGGGAACCCGCATGGTCCTTGCTGCCTATAGCACAGCAAACAGCGCTACCAACCTTTCCCAGGAGGTCTCCTTCCGCTTGTCATCGCTGGGGTTTGCCCTGCCGACTCGTTCTGACGAAGACAGCTTTCGCTTCGAGATCTGGGGGGCGACGATCACGCGCCAGCTAAGGCTCTCAGGAACTGGGAGATGGCCCCCCGGCACTTTGCAAATGCACGGGCCTCTAACGATTGATCTTGACGACCCATGCCCGGCGACATTGGTGCTTGACTCCGAATCAGAGGATGACGTGGTAAGTGTGTGTGTGGGCCCCTCCTCTCCACAACCTGAATATTGGGAGTGCATGCTCTCGGAACCCGAAGGGGAATCCTACTCCGACGTAGAAGCGAGATGAGTGCTGGTCCATCCGGAGCATGCTTGATTTTGTACAAGTGTGTGGGCAATCCGCGTACTTGCAGTATTGGCTCAAAGTGAAAGCTGTAAACCAACTTGATCACTCGAAGCCACACCATGTTGCTTTGGTTCCTGCTGGCAGCCCCCGTAGGGGTACTGCTTTTCGGCATCTTCCTCGCTCTTCGCAGAATGCAGCGAGACACACGGGCACTTCGAATTCAGATGGAATCTGTCACAACGAATTTAGTGGCTCTGGCACAGCTGGAAGCAACCCTGCATGAGATTCGTGGCGAAATCCAGCTGCTAAAGCGAAGATCTGCAGATGCACTGGACAGCCTGTACCATGGGCTGGAGCTGCGGCAGAGGATGGGTGTGATTGACAACACCTACGACATAGTTCGTGAGTTGCATTCGCGCAGAGCTGACGTGATGGAGGTGTCGCATGCATCCTTTCTGAGGGCGCAGCTGCAAGCTGCCCTTAACCAACTGCAGGCCCTTGAGAACAGGTTGGCCACTCTGGAGCAAGGGCACCAAGGTGAACCGCTGCCCATAGTACGCCTGGCGGTACCGGAAGGCACCCAGCTGCATTTGATCTGAGTGCCTGGACGTTGCAAAACCTCGAGTCACCTTTGCATGCTGCGTTCGTGAATTTGTGAAGCATGGTAGAGTGCATGAATGCATAGGAATTTAAAGCATGTTTTGAACGGGACTGCGAACAGCTGTTTAGTGTACGCTTGCCTGCAGTGCTGTCGTTTTATGCATGACTCGCTCGGAGTGCCTCCACTGCATCAACAAAGGCGATGCGAGGGAGGGTAGCGGGGACATTACGTTCAGGATCACTTCACCGGGTTGCGTTTGAGGGTTGCAGTTGGTCGGACTTTGGTTTCTTCTTGGCTGTTGGTGGTATTAAGCAGACCTGTCTCATAACGAACATCATGTCTCGTATCCCGTTAGGTCCTGGTCGTTAATGTGTGTCGGTTCTTTGGGTAGGTAGGCCCTTTTCCCCACCTTTCTACCCTCCTCTGCGTAGGGCAAGTTTCTAGATGAGTTGATTGTTTTGATGTTCCGACCTCAGCTATACCTGGCACGATCTTAGTCTACCCCCACAGTGATTGGAAGTATACTTGAATGCCTCTAACCTTTGTTACCTCCCCTCCGACTTCCTAGTCCCTCGGTCCTGCCCCTCCGCCCTAGCCCCCCCCCCCCCCCTGCCTTCATGAACGCCACTCCCTGCAACGTGCTGCTTAAAACATGCATGTGGGGTGCAGCATGGAGTGGACGTCTACGGTGATGCGATAGCCTCTGCGACTCAAGCCCTCGGTGAAGCTCGTGCGACTACCGTGCCATGGCTCTGGGATAGCCAAACTGGGGCTTCTAATGGCCCTCCTTGCGGTGGCCATCGGGATACGCTGGGGACGCAATCATCGCCTGCAGCGCTTGCAGATGCTGGCCCAAGGTGGGGGACCCGCCTCCGACGGAGCAGGCAGCATCGACCCCATCCTGGAACTGGTGCGTGGGCTCAAGAAGATGCTGCTGGA